GAAGAAGAAGAAGAAGAAGAAGAAGAAGAAGAAGAAGAAGAAGAAGAGCTGCGAAAAGCACCCACATTTCTCAAACTTGAAAAGGTGAAGACAAGCAGGTGCTTCAGGGTCCTAGTGGAAACAGCTCCTGGTGGGGATCTATGAAATCATTCCCTCCTAGCTGGGCCCCATCCTCCGGACAGTACAGATTGTTCTACTCTGGAATGTGGAGGCAGGTCCAACAAGACTATTTTGACTAGGATAGTAAAATCAGGGGTTCTGGCTTAACTTGTGGACCTGGGGGTGCTCTCTGATTCACAACTGACCTCGCCAACCTCACCATGATGTTTATACTGTGAGAGTGTCCCACCCTCATCCCAACCCCCACACTGTATTCCTCTATCAGTCCAGGCATGGCTTCTGAGGAGGTACAACCTTCAGTAGCGGTGCCCTTAGTCTGGAAGCCAGCCCTGAGACGAGCAGCAGGGGTTTGTGGGAAGCCTGGCCTGGCCCTGCGCGTCCTTCTTGGACTGGCCCCAGAAAAGGGCCACGCTCAGGCAATATTCTTCTGTCAGCCCTTTACTTTTATTTATTTATTTATCTCTCTATTTTTTCTTAATTTTTTTTCTTCCTCACCCTCTTTCTCCTTCCCTGGACTCTGTCGCTCTCTTCATCTCTCTCTCCACCCCCCCCCCCCCCGCCCTCTTTCTGGTGCAGGCATTTCTCAGAGAACTTTTCTGTGCTGAGTTCTCCAGCAAGAGCTGCAGCTCTGAGTAAAGGCATCCCGAGGCTTCCTAGGACCGCGCAGTCGCCTGGAGGCCGCCCTCCGGAAGGGGCCGCCCCTGATCCGACTGAGCCGGGCCGGGTGGCCTGGGAGAGCCCAAGTGGCCGGCCATGCTAGGCAGGGGTCGGCTGGGAGGGACCCGTGACAGCCTGGGGTCCTCGGCAGAGCACAGTGAGTAGGTCTGGTTGGTTGTAAGGCCAAGCTAGACTGGGTAGATGCATTTTCCGAAGTAGAGTTTGTCCCAGAATCCCAGTGTGACTCGCACCTCTTGACCAGGGAGAGAGCGCCTGGGAGACTCACGGGGAGGGGCGGAGCGCAGTGGCCCCTGGCCCGGGCGTTTTGGGACAGTGCCAGGCCTCCAGCGCCTCACATGGTTAGTGCAGGGACCACGGCTGGACAGCAGGGAGACCCCCACCCATAAGCCAGATCGTGGGACCTAAGATCCCCAGGAAAGCTAGTGCGCTATTCTTCCCGTGATCCTGGGAATCCGACGTCTGGCTGCAATGTCAGGGCGCACCCTCCCCGATCCAGTCTCCTCCTTCCTTCTCATCTCCAGTGCCTGCCTCGGCTCTGGGATCTGCAGGCAGCGCGGGCACACCTCGGGGTCCACGCCGAGACAGCCCCAGCCCAGCTCCCTGCTAGATGCGTCCTGCTTCAACCCAGGGCTCACCGTGAGCCTCTAGCTTCCCCCCCCACCCCCCGCCGCCGCTTCTGGGCGCACAAAGTCGGCGCCAACAACTCCCAGGACGCCAAGGTGGAAAAGTGAGGGGGCAGGCAGGGGCCTGGCTTGGGGTACGCGCTTGTCCGGAGCGGCCAGATGGGTCTCTGGGCCTCTGCCCTGGAGAGCAAGCACCCAGCGGGAGCCGACTCAGCGGGCCCGCTCCCTCTCTGGATCTATGCCCGGCCCTGACTATTATTCCCTGACTTTGTGCCTCTCTTATACGCAGGAAAAGCGGAGGAAATACACCCGGGATCCAAGTGCCCCTGGCCCTCATGACCCGACCCCTGGAGAAGCGTCTGAGTTACCTGACATCCTGGTCAGCAGGAGCTGGGCCGCAGACTGGATGCTACAGCTTCAGAGACTCAGCACCTGGGAGGGCTCCTGTGCAGGGAGAAAAGCAGAGATGCGACATTTTTAAAGTTTCACAAAACACAAGGCAGCACCCAGGTCCCTGGAGCAGAAGACACACAGAATTAATGTTTTATACCTTCGGGTATAGGTTTGAGTTTTTTCCCCCTCATGCCAAGTATTTAAAACCTCTAGAAACCCATGATTTGACAATCAATGATTGCGCGATACTTTCAATTTGAATATTCAAAGGCTTAACAAAATGGACTATCTTCTGCAGAAATCCTGCACACAAGCACCCCACAGAGAGTCCAGAGAAACAGGGAGTGAGATCCCTTTGGGTCCTGACCCTTGCTTTTCTCCTATTTTAAACTTTTTGTTCACCTTCCCACAGACAGAGCAGGTGTCCTCAAAGATGCTCTGTGTTATAGCCTCAGAGGCAGCTCAGAAGCCCCCACTGACCTAGACTGCTCCCCATGGATCACCTGAGCCAGACTGGACAGCCACACTGATTCTCACTTTTCCAGTCTGTATTTTAAGGGGAAAATCTCAGATTTTTGGAGAGTGAACATGGCAGCCAGTGGGTGTGGCGCTGCAGAGGGCCACTCCAGGCCCAGGTTGCAGGCCAGAGGACAGCAGAAGCCTAAAGTTTTGCACTTTGTATTCCTCTGGTCCTGCCTGGCCACAAGGCTTCCCTCTCTGCCTGTCATCCCTCCTTCTAGGCCACAGACACTGCGTTTTCCCAGCAAGCAGCCTTTGCAGTCCTGCGTATCAACATTCGCTTTGCTCCTCAGGGTACTGGATCACCACAAATGCCCTTGGCCATCCGACTAGAATTCCACCGATACACTGCAGCATTCCCTATTCTTATTTTTTTTTCCTTCCTCTGTACCTTAGCCTTTTTGCTTCATAACACTCCTGCTTGTTTTAGAGGAAGGATGTGGGTATTTTTTTGAATAAGAGGGGAGAGACTAGAGGAATTTGGAGGCAAGCTGTCTACTTGGACCCCTCGCAAATAACTTGGGCCTGTGCTGATGCATATTTTTGAAGCACTGCCTGAGTCACCCTCTGACCCGTGATTTGAAAGATGGAAGCATCTGGAGAGATGTAGAATGCCAGGTCAGGACTTCACAGAGAGGCAGTGACTTTGCAAGTAACTAGATGTTTCCACGAATACTGATAAAATGATGATGCAGGCCTCTATTTTTTAGTCCCTGAGTTGTCTGAATTGGAAAAAAAAGAGCAAGCTTTAGCTTCAAAGACCTTTAAAAATATCTAAAATATTTCCGATATAGAGTATAACAAACAGCTCAGAAAAAGGGTCTCTGGGGATTATGAAAACAGGAAGGGTAGAATAGGCAGGTGAGGCCACATGAGAGAGGATCAGGGCTGGGGACACTTGAGGTAGCATCCAGTGGTGGAGGTATGATGTGGTTGTATTTGGTCCAGCTGGTGTTTATCAACCACTGGAACCCATTTCTGCAAAGCAAGGCCTGAGGACCGGACCAGTGGAAGGACCACAGGATCTGAGAGGAACCCTCTCCTTGGCACTACAAACCTCCTTCCTCTACGAAATGTTTTCCCTAGCTTTTGTTTTTGTCTTGCTTTTAAGAAGATTTCCTTTGTCCTTTTAGCTTTTTTTTTTGTTTATACTACACCCCACACATATTTTCTATTTCTTTTCTTCATTTCTTGTCTTCACTCTTTTTTCTCTTTGGCTCTATATGCACCTCTCTTTACCCTATTCTGGAGTACAGTCTCATTATTTCAGACTAAATATTTTTCTCTGCTCTCCACTCATACAAAATGGGCAGAGGTGGCCTGAGGCCAGTTTTCCCTTGGAAAAAATCAAGGACACTGATGCTGGTGACTGGGTTCTGTAGAGAGGACACAGGCTGGAAGACGCAGGCTGTTTAGACGCCTGGGATCTACAGAGACAACAGAGAGCAATGAAGTCTGCATCTTTTCTCCCAGAAGCCTTTGCCCGAGCCATGGTTAAGGTCGGGGGGGCATTTGTGTGTTAGTGTGGTTTCTGGCAAGCAACATCAGAAAACTATTTCCCTAGGCCCGTTTTGAGAATCTTCCCCCTGCCAAAATTAAGTAGTTTTGATTCTTGTTCTTGTAACTGAAAAGCCTCAGTACAGACATTTCAGAGCCAAAAGTCATGCTTGAGAAGGCAAGAGACAATGCTTTCTCAGTGGATCCCCTTTGCATCTCTCTCTCTCTCTCTCTCTCTCTCTCTGTGTGTGTGTGTGTGTGTGATGACCCTAGAGCAACCAGTCTTTTTTGCCCTGAAATTCCAAATGCCTATAGAAATGGATAGCTTCTTGGTTGTTCGGTCATTCATTCATTCATTCATTCATTCATTCATTCATGCATTCATTCCAGTGTTGAGATAGAATCCAGGGCATGCTGGATAAGTGCTCTACAACTAAACTACACCCCCAATTCAGAAGCTTAGTTAAAGTTCTCGGCTGTTGTTCATGGGTGCTATACCTGTGCTGTGCAGCATTCCCACTGTGCAGCTGAAGAATCTGACTAGACGGACAAACATCTCGCCAAGTTTAGTAAGTACATGGATGACGGAACTGGGGTTCAAACTTTTCTAAGTCTCATCCCAAAGTCCCTGATGTATTATCAGTGCATCCAAGAGGCTTAAGACTGCAGCATTCTGGCGGGAGAACATTCTAGAAACACAGAGCCCTGAAGAAACAACTGGCTAGAGGTGAATATAAGCCGGTCTTTATACTGACTGCCGTTTGTGGAAGCTGGACCAGGGCCTTCTTCCTGGAGGCCTATTGCTTCTAGGATGCCTCCCAGAAGCCCCAGCAACCCCTTTGAGGTTGTAACAAACAAACAAACAACCTCCAAAAATATGGGGCCTGGCCTGCAGCCACAAGCTCCTTGACTTATAATGCAGTAACTTGATGTTGGGTGTGAGAAAGGATGCTGAAATGCTGAGAGGGACTGGCATCTTGACCAG